CTTTTATATTTACAGCCAACACCAGTTTCTTGGAGCTATTTCTACTGTCCTGAATTGTAGAACCTGCAGGATTGATGTTACAAATGTAACAGGAAACAGCTCATTGTGTTTTTCTGTATTAATTCAAAGAGCTTGTAGGGTCTCAATTACAACAAAAATGGCTTTCAGAGCCCCAAATATCTGCAGGTTTTTTGTAGTTTTGTGTATTTGAGATTGTGGAATACTTTGAGGATGGAAGTGAGAATAAGGAACTCCCAGCCATGTGCCTGCTTAAGAACACAGTGCCTGTAAAAAACCAAGATATTCCATATACAAGAATATGAATTCCCCAAAATGTGGCCAGGAAGGAGATTTGGCTCTATAATGGATTTTATATGTACATCCCTTCTCCTCAGACATCCTGAGGGCTAAGGGGGATAAAACAGAGAGGATGATGAGATTCATCCCTTCAAACATCATCTATGTGGCACATCAGCTGGAACCTCGCTGGCTTGGGCAGCACCTCAGGAGCCCCCAGAGCTCCCCACAGCCTTTTCCCTGCTCCTCCTGCACAATGACAGCTCAGTGACCACATCCTGCAGCTCCGCTGGCCTTGGCATGGTGCAGACACCAGTTCACTCCCCGCACATGGAGCTGTTGCTGTTATAAGCTGCATAATTTGAAATAAGAGAAGAGGTTCCCCTTCCCATCATCCCAGCATAGAAGGATGTGAGCAGAGCTGGGTGTCAGGGCAGGGAGTTGAGCTCAGGGTCCTCCTTTACATTTTTCCCAGCCTCTTTTTCCTGTTCCTTCACCTGTAAAATGGGAGTGAGCACTGGAGCTGGGAAGGAAAGCAAACATGAAAATCAGATGGGCCATTGCCAGAACAGCTCCTGAGTATCAGAGATTCTCAATGTGCACACGAGGCCCCCAATAAACAAGCCCTTGATGCTTATTCATTTTTTATTTGCCTTCTGTAGTAGTGCTTTGGAGAAGCTGTGCTTCAAGCCTTTGTACTTACAAAGTTGTGACTGCTGGCTGATATTTTATCTCTTCTTGGTGACATGCATTTATGGTCTTGACAAACAAAGGCTCAAAATAGGCTCTGTGTCCTCTTTACAAAGAAAGCATCTGAGGGGAAAGAACCCCCAACAAAGTAAATAGAAACAAGAGCTTTTGGAGCATGGGAATGCTCATCTCTGTTATGGTGAGCACGCTGAGCCACAACAAGCTGGCATAAAAATCTTAAAAACTAGGTTAAGACTCACAAGCAGCAGAACAAATGCTTTCTGTTGCTGCATCTAAGAAAACTGCTCCTAGCAAGGCTGTTTGTGCCTTGGTCATCAGAACAATTTGAACATGAAAGCTGATTCTGTCAATCCAAATGTACCCTGAATTCATTTTTCTAAATAACAGCACAAACCCCCCACATCAGTGGTGCTCAGTGATCACATGTGGGCTTCAGATTAAGGAAAATGAGGTTGTTTAATATTCTGCTGATTCGAGAAAAACAGCACTGACATGACTCACCTCTTTTCTTTCTCCCCAGAGAATCATTCCTTTCTAACACAAGTTTGGATTTCTCTTTATATAACCAGCTCATACAACAGGCATTCAGCTCTGTGTCAGAGAGAAAACAAACTAATTAAAAGAAAAAAATCAAGGAAAGTCCTATCAAATGGACATGCATTGGTTTGGACTATGCATCAAAATAAATAAAATGATAAAAAAAATTATTTTCCTTTCTGTGTTTCTTCTCTGGATATTTAATTTCAAGAAATATTTTCCTGCAACTGAATCGATGCCAATTGCAGAGATATTTGCTATTAAGCTGAACAAACTTCATCATAACTTTTCATCATAAATATAAAAGGCTAGAAATCCTCTGAGAGATAACTAAACAGATCAGATCACTGAACTCTGGGAAAATGCTGAAAACTTGTTTACCACAAGACTCCTATAATGAGAAAATAAACCAAACAAAAGGGGAGTCATGTTTCTACTAATAGCCATTCTGATCCTGCAAGTAGTTTTGTTTATGACACCTACAGAATCATATGAAGTAGTAAATGGAAAATTGAGGACAATTTTTCAGGTGCTTTGTACCCACAGGTAGAACCAGGTTCAGTTCCATTCCAATTTCATCCCAATTTCAGAGGGATTTACAAATCAATATACTTGGAATAGATTAGTTAGTGCCTGCCTCCGTCAGCTTTATTTACCTCTGTGAAAGGCTCCATTCCTGTTTGGTGTTGGTCTTTCAGCACCAAGACAAGACTTTGCTCACATTGATTTTTCCCCCTCTAAAGCCCTGTCCCAGAAGAAATGCAGAGCCTGCTCTAAGGAAGGAAGCAGGAAGTGCCACAGATGCATCATCATCACCTCTGACATTTGAAAGTAAAGGACATGCAGACAATCCTGCTTTTAACACAAGAGACATTATTTAGCAATGTAAGTTTGAATAATTCAACACACAATTTTTTTTGGTACCTCCTCTCCTAAACATGATGATGGTTCATTTTGGAAAGAACAAGGTCCAGGGGCAGCTCCATCAGCTGGCACAAAGCACAGCAGGGATTTATCCCCACACTGACGGTGCTTGGTTTGTCAGGGATGAGAGAAAATGCTCTTTAAGTGAAAGCAGCAAGGCAGATTCCAGCCCTGCTTGACTGTTTTGTACCAGGCAATATTTTAAATCCAAAGGAATCCTATAAAATGTCCTCTATAGAGGCAATCAGTATGGGAGCTGGTTAAAAATACATCCCTCTCATCCTGTGTGCTTCTACAGCTACTAAAGTTGGCTTGGAGATATTTTCTTGGGTTGAAAATATTTTAATATATTCGGTCGTATAATGCTTAAATCTGCTATGAAACTTCTCAACCCTACATTTTAAACATGAAATCAGTATCATTCTTCATCTCAGAAGGCAGCTATTGATTAATGCAAACAGACTTTCACAGAATTCACTAGAAACCATCAGCATTTTCTAGCATGACCTAAAAGCTATATAGAGAAAAACCATTTAGAACTCGCTACTTCCTCTCCTTTTAGGACTAAAAATAGATCTGGCTCATTATCTCACTTGGCACCTTAATGTATTCCATGGCACGATGGCACAGCTTAGATTAAACCTCCACATGCTGCTTTTTCCTTAGCATCTACCTTATACACCCCAAGAAGGGGCAGTGCTCATTCAGAAACTCTTTGATATTTTACTTTAAACCCTTTTTTGGGTTCTGTTCTCAGGACAATATTCCCTGTTGGATGCAGCAGCTCCCCCCAGCCATGGGTGGACGCCACCCCAACAGCCAATGGAATCTTGGATGAATTTTCTCATCAAGCTCCACCATTAAATCCATGCCCACAGACTTTTTTTCTTTCCCCTAAAGGTCAGTGGGATAACTGACTCTCAGGGACACACAGCCCAAAAGTGACTCCCAAATCAGATGTATGCATGTTTAACTTTGATATTCCTGCTTAAAGAAAAGCTGCAACACACATCTCAGTGTGATAAATGGGGGTTAAATCCCCCCAAAACACAACAAAGACATAACCCTACGTAACTGCTTTGTTTGCCTCTGCTTTCAGAAATGGCCAAACCCAATTTTCTGTATTGAAGAATAGCAAAATGTTTTCCACATATTAATGTAAAAACAGAGCCAGGCTCTTCTCAGTGGTGCCAAGTAACAGAACAAGAGGCAGTGGTGAAAAACTGAAGCTTAGAAAGTTCCACCTGAACATGAGGCAGAACTTTGCTGTGCAGGTGAGGCTGTGGAGCTCCCCTCCTCTGGAAATATTCCAGACCTGTCTGGACACAGTCCTGTGCCCTCTGCTCTGGGATGACCCTGCCTGAGCAGGGAGGGGGCGTTGGACCAGGTGACCCCACTGTGCTTCCTTCCAACCTCCACCTGCGCTTCTGTGTGTGGGAATGAAAGACTGCATTGATGGGAAATTGTCTGATAAGGGCTCATCCCTGAAATTTTGCAAACTTGCTCCTGTCTCACAACAGGAATTTAGCTGCATGTACAACCACTGCTCTCGAGTCAGAAAAAAATCTACTTGTAGGTGAGTGTATTCCTCAGCACTGGTTCCATGCAGAGACAAAAGAAGAGTTTAAGGCAGATACGAGATGAGAACTCCACAATCCCAGCAAGTGCTGAGCGAGCATTCCACAGGACTTTACTGGGAGAGTGATTAAAAGCATCCCTGTTTTTTACAGGTGAAAACTTGAAGAAGACCTGTCCTGCATCACTGGCTACAGACCAGCACCCCCTCTGCCGGCACCCTGTGCTGCACAGGAGGAGCGAAGAAAATCCATGAAAGCAAATTTACCCTTTAAACAGACCCCCAAACCAAGCTGCTCAGCCGAGTGGGAGCATCCCGGGGTTTCTGCAGGATCCCCGTGCGACACCTCTGCCACGAGGCCCCAGCTCCAGCCGAGCTGCGCGGGGTCCCGGGGGCGCGGAGCGGCTCTCGCTCGTCCTGCCCAGGGAACCCCCGCGGGAACCTCTCTCGAGGGACACCCACACCCCGCGGGACACCGAGCCCCGCGGCTGCCCCGGTGCCGGGGGTCGCGGCGGTCCCTCCCGCGGGGCAGAGCTCCCGGACGGACGGGACGAGCCCCGGGGCGGCTGCGGGGACACGGGCGGGTCCCACACGGGCGGGTCCCGCACAGCCCCTCCCTCCGGGGCGGGGCGGCCCCCGCGCACCTGCGGCGCCCCCGCCTTTGTGCAGTGCAGGTGCGGCGCCCACCCCACCCCGTGACGTCAGGCGGGCGCTCGCGGGGCACCATGGGAGAATCCCGATGTTTTCCAACGGATGCGCTCAGCAGCGCGGCGGCTTGAGGCGACTCCGGCAGCGGCGCTCGGGGGGGCGTCCCGGGAGGGGGCGGCGGCGGCGGGGGGCCGGGCCCGCGGCCCGCGCCCCGGCTCTTCCCCACCCCGCCAGGCGGCATGGCCCACCCCCCTGAGGCGCCCGGAGCTGCCCCCTGAGCGCCCGGAGCCGGCGGAGCGCCGCGCCGCAGCCGTGCCCAGGCGCCGGGGAAGATGCTGCTGCCGCGGCTGGTCCTGCCCGGCTGACGCCCCGCCGCTCCCGCCGCCGCCGCACCCCCGTCCCCATTGTCCCCCGGCCGCCTCCGGCTCCATGAGCGCCTCCTCCTCCCTCCTCCTCTGAGCTTCCCGCCCTCCACCTCATGGCTGCATCGGAAGAAGGGACCGGCTGCTTTCTCCCGCGAGGCAGGTCGCAGAGTGACCCCAGCATCCTCACGGAGCCCGCGGGCCCCGGGGAGCACCCAGGTAACCGCCCCGCTCCCGCCGGCCGCGCTCGGGAGCAGCCGCCAGTTTGTGGGGAGCCCCGGGCGGGCCGGGACTGGGAACATTCCCTGCAGCGAGTGCCGGAGGGTGCAGCCGCTGAGCCGCACACGGGGTCCGAGCGAGCGCGTCCCGCGGCTGTGCCCCGATCCGAGCGGGGGGCGCGTCCCGGCCGGGGCTCCCGGGGCAGCGCCCGACCCCCTCCCGCAGAGCTCATTGATGACTGTGGGGAGGGGGAAATGAGCGCTAATAAAGCAGGCTGTTTGCATGGCATCGCCATGGAGACAAGGGAAGCAGAGTCATAATTAAACGCTTTCTGCCCACAAGAAGGTAATTTTCACTTCATAGGGGGAAGCGTAATCTCCTTGTGAAGTGTGGGCACAGAGGGTGGTGCTGAAGGGACACAGCCCAGTCGTTAGTATAAATAGAATATTGTGATTAGATTTTTTTTTTAAACAATGGCAAATGGTGTTTTCATCTTCACTTTGAGGAGTAATTCTAAATGTCTGTTGGTGGTGACTCAGTAATTTCAGACCGTCAGAATCTAAGCAGTGTTGAGACCTTTAGAAAAAAAAAAGAAACAAATAGCTACATCACTTTGATGTGATGTGATTGCAGGGAAAGGCACAACAACAAGCTGGAAGCAAAGGGTAAAAGCCAGTTTACTCTCAGTTTCCCTGAATAGATGGTGGTCACACAAGAGCTGTCAGGTTTCTTTCTGAGAAAAGAAGTAATCAAAACAGCGCAAAGACAATGAATGGGGTGCTGATCATCACCACCCACTACTGATTCCTAAGCCTAGAGATGAGTTTAGGTTTTGGGTCAGGCGCTACCAACCTACAGGAAACAGTCCCTGGATGCAATTTCGGGTTGAACTTTGCTCCCCTTTCTCAGATTACTGAGTAAATAAAATATTCCAGGCTCTATTCATACACCTGTATATTGCTTCCTTCTGAGCCAATGAGGATATTAATATTTGTATCTAATTTAAGTTCTTCTATTTATTTGCCTTATCAAGCAATTGTGAGCATACTGGTCTGGAGTGAAGCACAAATTGAATTAAGGCAAACAGTGGATGATTTATCCCTGATTACCAACTGTTCTGATACCCTAAGTGAAGGGAACAAAGGACTCTTCTAACATGAACTGCTCGACTCACTCCCAAAGGGGCAATCTTGGCTGAAAGAGGAATGTATGTTTCTGCCATTTGATTTCTGCAAGCAGAAGTGACTAATGAAAGGAAGGCGGGTGCAACCTCAGTTTTAATTCCTCTAGATTGTTTTCTGCTAATTAATTCTTTTGGCCTTTGTGAGATACACAACAAAGAAAGTACACAACATGTCCGACAAACAGACAAAGATATAAACATTATTGTGCTTTTTGTTAGGACAAGGAGCTGTCAATACCAAGGAGAATTTTTCCCCTAATACAGACTCCATCAGATAAACCAGTGTCCCATTGCATGGCAGAAGCTCTGCTAAAATGCAAGAGAAGGTGTCTTGTATGTATTCTGTTATTCATACAATATGTGGAGAGAAACAAAAGGTGTTAAATACATCTGGCTTTTTTCCAGGTTGCTATGAATAGTCAGGGGTAGGATTAGCATGTTTGATGAGATTTTCAGGTTTTAAATTTGTTCATCAAATAGTATTGAACGTCTCTATGCTTCCAGATGATTATAAAATGAACCTAAATTGTTTATTTTAGATAAAATTTTACCCTACAGTGTTGTGAATAATCATTATGAGCAATTTCATACATTTGGATACTTAAAAATCTGGAATACAATTTATATTATTTTAAGAATTATGAATGTTAGATGACTTAATTGCAGTTTATATTATTTTACTATCCTAGAAAATAATTTTATCATTATCATTATACCAACAAAATCATCTATGGACTCTAAATCAAAAGAGATTCTTAGGAATGGGAAATGATATGTCCAAAGTTTGTGTTTACATCCCAACCCTGCTCACAGACAAACCATGTAGGGAAGTGTGAACATATAAGATTCTTTCTTAATCTAAAAATTCAATTAATGTTATTATTATTTAAGTTACATGTTTAAATTACAGACAAACAACCAAAATTATACCAAAATATGGGTATAATAGGATGTAGGATCCCTACAAAAACCATTCCTGCTTTTACCTGGCCTTTGAGTGATGCCATATTCTGTTTAGTTTTGGAGCAGTTTTTTGGCTGTATGATGTGGTCAGGGGTTATTCTGCACCAACTCATTTGGCTGTGCCTACTGAGGAAAGGATATTGGGGTAGGAAATGTGGGAATAGATGAAGGCAGCCTAGACTCTGAAATATTTCCTTGTGGTTTTTTGGTTTAAAGACATATTTATATTTGTCTTGTTGACCTGTAGAATTACAGGAGTTTTTGGTTTAGCCCAGCTTTATGCAGGAAGTTTCAGTGCCATGGCTGAGAGTGTAGAGCTGGCAGCACAAAGATTTTCATGTGTTTCCCAAAGGAAATCCTGTGATGCAATGCTTCATTTCCCTTTCCCTCCTGAAACACCAGTTTAACCAGTAGAACTGACCCATCCCAGTGGGGTTTGAGCCTTGCTGGCTCAGAATTTGCTCTCACTGGACCAAATAATCCCTTTTTAGCTGACCCTGAGCAATGTGAGCATCAGATCCAAGGAATTTGGGATGAGCACGCTGCAGGTGCAGATGTTGGGTCACCTTCCCAGTGCTTCATTTGCAGTGTTTTGATGAGCTGTTGCTTGGGTGAAATGTCAAAGGGAGTTTCTCCATGTGAGAGCAGAGCTGAAGTTTGTTTGTTTGTGAGGTTTTTGTTGTGTTTTGTTCATTTTAAAGAGGATTCTGTTTTCATCCAGCCAGAGCATGAGATAACTCAGTAACTGGCTGGATCAAGTAGCCTTAGATGCTGATTTTTGAGAGGTCCTGCTCACTCACAGTCCTGACTAAAGCCAGCAGAAGCTGCAATTATTCCAAGCCTTCAACAATAAAGGCTTCATGATAAAGCCTCTTATCTAGTGTGCTTTTCCTCACAAAGCATTCACTGTAGAAATGAAAAGCTATTTTATAACCTTGGTTTAGAAGAGCTGTAATCTTTACAGACTACAGTGAATTTTATCACATGTAAAAAACTCACAAAATTACCACATGCCACTACAATCTTACAAATATTCCTATAATAAGTCAGATAAACAAGATGTTCAGTAAACTAAACTAGGGACAGTTAATAGCTATTTATTCCAAAACAGAGATAGAAATTCACTGATTTAGATCCTTCATGTGCAACTTAAATGAAAACAGCAGCTCCTCACAGTGATCAGTAAAGATGTCACAGTCATGGTCTAAGAAGAAAAGATGGACTTTAGTTCAGGCTCTGCTGACAAAAAGATTATTTTCTCCAGCATTTAAATGGTGCACAGAGGTCCTATTAGTAATGCAGAGAATACTGAAAATAGTGTTTCTTTGCTTTAATTGGATCAGTTATTTATTTTCTCCTTTAAGATAAAAGAATGCATTTCAGCCTATATTTAAGTGAACTATTTTATGGCCACTGAGCCGTATTTTATGAGAATTACTGTACTACAGCAAACACTGAGCTTCATGTTTGAGTCTGTTTAAATTCACTGTCACACTGAGTGAGCAAGCCTTGAAAAAGGAGGATGTCCTTAGTTTGGGATACTGACATCAAAATACTCATCTCTTGCTAAACTGCAGACTGTCTCCAGGCCAGGCTGTTGTTAAGAAAGTGAATTTCATCTCATTCATAGAATCACAGAATGGTTTGGGTTGGAAGGACCCTTCCAGATCATCTGGTTCCAGCTCCCTGCCACAGGCATAGCACCTTCCTAACCTGATTAGATGAGGTTGCTCCAAGCCCCATCCAACCTGGCCTTGAACACTTCCAGGGATGTCAAGCACCTCCTTATCTTATGTGTCTTTCCCCTCCTCCACCTTCCCAGATAAGGATCAAGAGAGAAAGGAGAGTCCAAAGAGAACAGATTTCAGTATCACCATCTAATTGAGAGACAGTTGCAGGAAGCCAAAATATTGCTCTCATTATATCCTTCCAGCAGTCACAGGGCAGAGGGAAGATTGACAATCTCATTTGATTTGTATCAAAGAAGGGAGGGGTGCACAGACTGGAGAAGAACACACCATGTCAAAACTCTGTATTACTTGAGGAGATACAGACAACCATGACAATGTGTGAAAATGTCACCCCCCTCCCCCCTTAATTTTGGGATAATCCATTTGAATTTGTATAAGTGCACATTGATGCCATCACGTTTTGCTCTCTGTGCTGCTGCCTTTCTTTCCTGGCACCACACAATTAAAGATCTTCAGGATGGGCATTGCTGAGCTGTCCAGCAGACCTTGCCAGTGGTCCACCATGTGTTCCTTGTCCTCCAGTGAAGGATCTGTGTTGAAGAGGAGCTGTTGTGCTGCAGGCAGTGGTGTTAGATGTTGTTAACAGCTCTGTCACCAAAATTTCTTACTGCCTGGTGAAGGGGGGCTGCTCAGCCTCTCCTCTGGTGTGGTGTGCTTCAAGGCCTGACAAGTTAAAGCTACTGCAGAGTAGCTGTTCCAGAGATACATGATTGTGTCTTCACCAGACACTAATTCCCTGTTAATTTGTATTGATACCATGTGTCATGAGCAGCACCGTGCTCTGAATTAACTCCAGGGGAGAACAACTGCATAAGACTTAAAAGGTTCTCCATCACTGTTTCTAGTTTTCATAATTCAAAAGTTCTGTAGCAGGCAGCATTCTTGTTAGTATTCTTCTAGGATGCTAAGAAGAGAGGCTGAGATGAGAATTGAGCTGTTATGTTCCTTTTACATCATCTTTGGTCTGGAGGCAGAGCTGAAACCCAGCAGGGCCTCCCAGGCAGTGTGGGGAAGGACATCAATCATCCAAGTAACAGCCAGGGAAAGTTGGGATGCGATAAACTGCAGGTGTAGGAACACTCTCTAATATGGCTTTTTCTTTC